TAAACAGGGACACCTCACTTTAAGAAAGCCAATAGATGTGAAAAATTGGCTTTGCAGGCAGGTGAAAGGAGAGGGTAACTAGTCGATTCCTTTTCACTGAAAGATACCTGAGAAGATTCATTTAATGCTGAGATTCTCTACTGTATTTTAAAACATCCAATTCACAGGCATTCACAAGCACTTAACAGAACTATCTGAGAAAGGGGATGGGGGAAGCAATTGGCACTGTCTGAGTGCTTCTGTATGCCAAGCACTGCAGGCCAGGTACTTTACATTGTTTTCACTCATTTAACCAATGGACATTTATTGAGCACCTACTATATATACACCAGGCACTGGTTTAGGGCCAGGAAAACAAAACGAAGCAGATGTAGAAGGTCTGAGCAGCTAACAGTCTAGTGAGAGCCACGGCAAGTCACAAATCAGGAAATTATAAAGCACGTTAGAGACAGAGAAGGAGAGGCAGGAAGGAACACAGGAGAAAGTAGGAAGGAACTACGAAGGAAGAGTTCGAGCAGCAGAGACAAACGCATGCTCGTCACGGACACAACACAGGACGCCTGAGACAGAGAAGGCGGGAAGAGACAGCCAGGGGGCACAAAGGCTCCTGGAGTCTCTGGCAGCTGCTGGGGTTTGACCCACACACAGAAGCTGGGAAGCTGTCCACCTAAGTGGACGGGAGCACGGGGAGAAGGGAAGCGCCCCTGGGAACAGGCTGGGAGCACGGAGAGACGGGAAGCATCCCTGGGAACGGGCTGGGAGCACAGGGAGACAGGAAGTGCCCCTGGGAACGGGCTGGGAGCACAGAGAGATGGGAAGCACCCCTGGGAACGGGCTGGGAGCACGGGGAGACAGGAAGTGCCCCTGGGAACGGGCTGGGAGCACGGGGAGACGGGAAGCACCCCTGGGAATGGGCTGGGAGCATGGGGAGACAGGAAGCACCCCTGGGAACGGGCTGCGAGCAAGGGGAGACGGGAAGCGCCCCTGGGAACTGGCTGGGAGAGGGGAGACGGGAAGCGCCCTGGGAAAGGGCTGGGAGAGGGGAAATGGGAAGCGCCCCTGGGAACAGGCGCGGAAGCCTGCGGGTGAACCTCTGAGAGGGAGAAGTCAGCGTGAAGGTGGCCCCAGCGCAGGAGACAAAGAAGGAGCAGCAGATGGCAGGTGGGGCCCAGCCCCAAAAGTGGTCCTCCAGTCCATCAGGCACGGGGTATAATGATCCCCGCTTTACTGCTGAGGAAACTGAGGCTCAGAAAAGTAATCTGACCCAGGCCATGCCAAGAGGCAGTGGGAGGCAAGACCAGGCCTCTCAGCTCTACCTGCCCCACATGGCTCCTCTGCAGGACACGCTAATAAATCGTCACTGACACAACAGAGTGAAAACCAAGTCATTCTAGGCAGGTTTTCGACATCTGTTTCCAGCTCCCCCTCAGTGGCTCAGTCGTTTAAGCATCCAACTTCAGCTCAGGTCACGATCTCACGGCTCGTGGGTTCAAGTCCCACGTCGGACTCTGTGCTGACGACTCAGAGCCTGGGGCCTGCTTTGGATTCTGTGTCTCCTTCTCTCTCTCTCTGCACCCCTCTCTCTCCCTGTTCAAGCTCTGCCCCTCTCTCTCTCTCTCAAAAATAAACATTAAAAAATAAATAAATAAAGAGCTAATTCTAGGGTTGGAGGCTGACAGCCTCATCAAGACAGCCAGACACACCCCTAATCCCAGCACTTCTCCCTGAGGAATCTAAAGCATGTATAAGGTTGTCACATGGCTCACACTGGGGAGGGACACAGTGTCCTTCTCTGTGGAGGGGAAGATATTTTTCTTAACTTGACCAAACAGTTTCAAAGTTTATCCAAAAACATAATAACTAAATGAGAAAACCTAAGAGATGTCCATTAAAAAAAGCAAAAGAAAAAGAAGTAACATATGTGTGTATACGAGTTATAAAAATAGCACCTTATAAAACAATGTTCTAGACAGAGATTACTCAAACAGACAAAAATCTCTGACCATGCCCAGCATCTTGAGAAACTTGAATTTCAAAACAAAATGAAAAGAACAGATTTCTCTATAAATATGTCTAGTTAACTGATAACTGTTAAAAAAAAAAAAAAAAGATCCCTATCACAACCACACATCAAAATAAATTTCAAGAATATGAAGTTTAATCAATGTAATAAACCCCAAAAATAAAACTTGAAGAAAATACAAAAGAATTTTCCCTAATACATGGAGGGTTTCTTTCCACACAGAGAAATCACGAAGAAAAAAATAAATAAATAATGGATAAATTTATGTATGCAAAGTTACTTCACTTCTGTACATAAAAAGTTGTGGCAAACAGAATGTCAATGCAAATGGTAAGCTGGAGGGAAATGTTTGCACCATATGAAAAACCACTGATATACAAAGAGCTTTTAGAAATCATCAAGATGTGAGTGCCACCAAAAGAGCGAAGCTTTTTTCAAAGCTTTCTTAAGATTGCAAAGAAAAAGAAGTGTTTACAGTTTGACCACAGTCACAGAGCACACCGTCCATCCAGCTGGGACACCTGTCCTGTGATCTAGCACTCCACGTGTCAAACTGGCCTTCGAGACAACATGAGACTAGCAGCCCTCAGGAAGGAGGGACCTGGCGGACTTAGAGTGGGTGAAGCTACACTGCCCCACATAGCTCCAGATCTTCACCCTCCACCTGCCTCTGGACTCAGCACGGAAGCAGAGAGAGACCCATGAGTGTGACAATCTCAGGTCCTTATTCTGCTGCACCAAACTCAGGCCCACGTGGGGCAGAAGCTGGTGCACGGAGGCAGCAGACCCCCATTCTGGTGGCGTTCTCACCGCACCTGGCACACGATGCCCTTCATCCCAGGCTGGTGGGTGTTTGAAAACAAGACATGACTTCACGGATACCTCAAACTCCCAAAAATGTCAGAAAAAAAAATGAAGACAAACGATCCCAATATTCTATTTTTTTTCAAAATATTTCATAATGTCTACATGGTCTTTCCTTTCGGGAAGGCTATGTTACTGCTTTGACTAGCACCACCTCTGCCTGTCCAAATTCCCTTTCCTGCTGAAGAGTTCGGGGAAGTGAGTGACGTGACAGATATGACCAGCTGAGCGTGTCACTGCCATGCCTGCCGTGACACTGCTGCCCACTCCGGCTCTCCCCTCCACATCCGACAGCGGTCGGTCCAGAGCCCCTGATTAGACACACCCCACCTCCCCAAAGCTTTTCAGGCTAGAACCCAGACCTCAGAACCCTGCATGAGGCCACAGTGCCACTCCCTGGCTCCAAGAGCGCCTCCAGACCCTGTCACCACAGCCCTGGGGACACCCCAGACCTCCCAGCACTGAGAACAGCTGCTCCACGTTAGTGACACTGTATTATTAGGCATTTCAGTGAGTTGGGTGCTTCCCTGTGAAAAAGTTACAGAGGCAAAGAATTCATGAATAATTATATGACTTCATGCTTTCACTACTCAGGATAAGACTGCTTTACTGCCACTACATTTTTAATTATTTTGCCTACGGATTTTCTTACAGCACACTGCTTAAGACTGAATAGTTATGGCTCTGGCCTCCGTCCAGCCTCAGGCAAACCCCGGATCTTGAACTATAACAAAGCCTTGCTAAGCATGAGGCCTTTGCACATCCCCCAAGCACACCCAGATGTACACGTACAAGCAAGGGTTCCCTGGAACATCCTAAAATGAAGGGGTCACCTAATGGCTGTATCTCCCTCTAAGTTCTAAAAATACTTGTTGAAATCACTCTGATTTTTATAGTGAACTGCAGTTTTTGTACATAACAGTGCTTAAATATCAATATACTTACAACTACGCTTCATTACTCTCATTACATGGAACATTCACAAGACCCTCCGACAACTGGGGTTTTAAAGGAAAATAAAAAAGGCTAAAGGCCTTTGTGGTTTAGCCGTCTTGCTTTCCTCTCTTCTGCCAGCGCGGCCACTGCCCACCACGTCCCCTGCCCAGGGCGACTCACGTGCTCCCCCCAGGGCTGCGAGCCCCTCCCAGCACTGCTCCCACCTTCAGCACGCCTGCGTGCTTCCCTCCTACCCGCTGGGCGACCAACACCCCGCAGCCAGAGACTGTTCCTTACTGACCCCACACCCCGAGCAAGCTGGAACAGAGTAAGACCTCGATCCATGGCTCTTAATGAAGGAATGAAATTAGAAAACCACCAAGGTGTACTTTTCAAGGTCAAATTGACCCAAGTATTGTTTGCATTTTAACCTGAGCTTCCACTTTGGACTTAATAATAAGCCCCTGCAGTAGCTTAGATGAGAAGCATCCACCTGAGTGTGGATCAAGTGCGTCAGGTGTGATCAGGTCAAGTGTGATAGTGGCTCAAGGTCCTCAGGCTCAGGTGGGGACGGAGGCTGAAGAGGATTCAAACTTTGAGACCAAGGCCCCTGAGGGTGCTTATTCCCTGAAGCAGTGTCCACTTCACATCTCCCTCCCCCATGCACACACACGAGTGCACGTGCATCCATGCACACGTGCACACACACACACATACACACACACACTCTCTCAGGGTTCAGCAAGCACTGGTGGAGGTCAGGCAAGGCTCCGGTACTGGGCACAGGGGACATGAGGAAGCAAGTGAGTTCTGTCTGTGCTCTCTCAGAACTGAAATTCTATAAGATACAGCTCTCCTTGCCTGTGCAGTTTCTGCTGGACTTGGAATATCAGCCTCAAACCACACTTTTTTTTTTTTTCTTGAGAGAAAGAGAGCGAGCAAGCACATGTGCACACACAACCAGGGAGGAGGCAGAGAGTGGAGACAGAGAGAATCCCAAGCAGGCTCCACGGTGTCAGTGCAGAGCTAGACACAGGGCTCGATCCCATGAACCCTAAGATTATGACCTGAGCCAAAACAGAGTCAGACGCTTAGCGCACTGGGCCACCCAGGCGCCCCGCAAGCCACACTTCCAAGAGGGAAACAAACTCACTACGGTGCGGAACCATGTACTCACCGTCAGCAGTGTGCAGGAGCTTGTGACTTTTCAACGTCCCTTTGGATTTGAATTTCTTGCCGCACATGTCACACAGGTGGGTCTTCTCAGTGCTGTGACGGTTCATGTGAGCCTTGAGGTTACTCTTGCTGCGAGTTGCATACTCGCACAAAGAACATTTGAAGGGTTTCACACCTAGCAGAGGAGGAGGAAAAACATACAAAGTCACACACACACCCCTAATTACATACATGTGTACATACGTGTGTGCTTCCCAAGGCCCCGTGTGCACATCCACTTTGAACACAGCGGTGCACCTGCCCAGCCCGGATCGCGCCACACACCTGCCTTGCCTGCTCCTCCATGCTGCCCCTTCGGCCCGCCACGCCCTTGCTCCCAGCTCGGCGCGGCCTCCCCTGGTCTGGCCGAGCCATGGTCCCGGAACCCACCGCCGGCCGTACCGCTGCGGCGCATCATAAGTCATCCACACCTGCTGCTCCCTGCGGTCTGCAAACCCCAGGGTCCTGCATGGACCCCGGGGCAGTTTGTGCAGCACACGTTCACTAAATCCCAACGGCACAGAGTGAAGCTGACCAAAAGTCAGGGGAACAAGGGCCTGTGTGCAGAGCTCGGGCTCGGGCACCCGGGATCAGACGTGAAAGCGTGTCTTCACACAGCGAGCCAAGCCTGGCACAGCTGCCGTCGGGCTAATGGCCTGGGCCACGGGGCACCCAGGCCACTGTCCCCTCACTCAGCAAACACCTGTTGGGACCTGCAGGGAGGCAAGTGCGGAGGGTGCTCTGGAGCGGAGAGGCCCCGGCCCCCACGGCCACTGGTGGGGGGGAAACGGAAAGCAAAAAAGGCCGCGACACATGGCGTCACGTGGGTGGGGACGGGGAGGACCCGCCTCGCTGCGCACCCAGCCCTTATCTGTGAGACCTGAGACTTGGCAGTGGAGGGAAGCGAGGCTTGAGGGAGGCTGCGAGGTGTGCCCAGGGCACAGGGCTGGGGCGCACCCGTGATGGTAAATAACGGTACCTCCCAAGCTCGGCTTTGACCTCAGCTCCTCCTCCCTGGTCCAGGTCCTGCTGCATAGCTGACTGACCCGTCCACCTGCCCCTCCCTGACAGTGCTTCCCCCGAGGCCTGAGAGCAGGTGCTCCCGTCCACGCTGTAGAAACTCTTCATCCTCCGTCCTCCCCAGGACGCCCACAGCGTCCCAGTTCCTAACTCACAGGCGGGACCCCTGCAAACGTCCGGAAGGGCTCCCCCGGCCCCCGCTCTGAGCCTCACCCCCAGGAAAGCATCGTCCCTACAGTAGGAAGCAAAGTTGGTGGCGCACCGTCTCCACTGCTCTCCCGACCTCCAACTGCCCAAAATCCCAGAGTGTGCTCCCCATATTCCCCCTCACAGGCAAGCACCCCAAAAGCACAGCGTATGTTCCTCCTTCCGCTACTTCATCTCCACGCAACTCTCCTGCCTTCTGGATTCTTCCTCCATGACAGACGATGCTGTGCCGTCCTCTTCGCCTCTGCTCCTCTATACACCACCATTACTTCCTCAGCACCTATCAAGCCTGTGCACCATGGCGGCCACCGCAGTCCCGCGTGACAAAGACGGTGCTGTCCCTGTTCTCCTGAGGCTCGCCGCCAGGTGCAGGGGTCAAGGGGATTTATCTCACTACAGTCCCCACGGAAGCTACGAAGAACTGCACACCTCTGCTCACTGTACTTGCAAGCAAACAGGCAGTGACTGAAATCACAGAGCTCAGCTGCCTGCTGCACACCTTTCTCGGCAAGCGGGAGAAAGTCGAGCTGCAGGGCACATGACGATAGGGCCTCCCCCTGAAGCCCTCCCACGTGAAGCACGGAAGCACGGAATCGGAAAGGTGCTCCATCCCGAAAGACGAGTACTCACCTTCATGAGCCCAAATATGACGCTGAAGGTCAGAGCCGTTCTTCATGAAATAGAAATCACAATACGGGCACTTCATGGCTCTCTTCCCAATCAGCCCTTTCAGCTGAACCCTCCTCCCCAGAACCTCGGAGATAGTGCTCATGGAGACCTCTGGAAGAAAAGCAGGGTGGCCATCAGAAGCCAGAGCAGATGGGCTCAAGGGAGATGGGCGTGAACCCAGTGACAGCTCCTGAACCCCCTGGCCAATCCTGGCAGCACTAAGGTGACAAATTCGGATGTGCCCCGTGGAGTCACGTGATAGAATTTCGGCCTAAAAGTTAAACCAGAATCTACAAGTCTCAGATCTAAATATTCATGAGCAAAAAATGTGAGGGATGGGGAAACAATGCCATGAGGCACCATCACACAAATGTAGGACGTGAAATCATCTACAGGGAAAGTGACCCAGTCCCTCCATCAAATCGAGGTCATGGACACAAAGGTGAGCTGGGGTGTCTCAGAATACAAGACACTCAAGTGATATGACAACTAAAAGCAAAATGCCCGAGTCCTGATACAAACAGTCTTCCGTGGACATGGGAAACTTTAAATGAACTCACAATATGTGGTAATAAAGAATTACCATTAATTCCGTTTGTTTTATTTTACCTTTTTTTAAAATGTCAGGTTTTTATTTAAATTCTAGTTACTTTACAAGGTAAAATTGGTTTCAGGTGTAGAATTTAGTGACTCATCACTCACCACTTAACCCCCAGGGCTCCTAACCACAAGTCTGTTTATTTTAACGGTGACCCAGTGGCTCTGTTCAGATCGTACCCTGACTTGCTAGAGATGCATCCTAAAGTTCTGTTACAGGGAAATGACACACGAGTGGGACGTACTGGAAGATATTCTGGGACAAAAAGTCTGGAGGGTTGGTACAGGAAACTGGGCTGACCAAGTGCACGTGGGTGCAGAGGCCAGGCTGTTACGGGTCCTGGGGCCCCTCTTGTCGCCCGGTTTTATACATGTCTGAAGTTGTAACCAGAGAGGAAGAACAGCTCACGTATGTTCATGGGCAAAGGTCGGGCTTAGGCGGTTTAAGTGAGCGTCCTCGGCTCACACGGACACAGGCTGACACGGGGGAGGGCAGAACGAGGCCTCAGGGTTCTGCCTGCTCCCCGACACAGCGTGAGTGTTCGTGAACTCCGTTTTTTCTCTACTCTTCTCCATTATCACCTGCAGTCAGTGAGTCGGGGCCCAAATACAAGAGCTGACGCAAAACAAAGAGAAAAGGGGCACAGACGAGGGGCAAGCACACCGGCTTACCCGCCCTCATGCCTACCACACACCACACACATCCGTGCTCTCGGGCCTGCCCGTGAGACACCGGGGACCTGGGGGCGGGCCTTAACAGTGGCAGCCCTTCCCCAAGGCTCTCAAGGGGTGGCTGGGAAGTGCCAACAACCTGAACGCAAGGTGCCAGCGTCCCCAGCCGGGGAGCCCCCAAATCCTCCCCAAGGACGGGACTCCAAGGAAGAACACAGGGAACAAACAGGAATTAACGGAGGAAATGTGTCCTGGTAGCAAGAACAGAAGGGTGACAGGCGTGGGTGGCCAGGTGGCTCATGGTTCACACCTCTAAGCGGCCAAGGAAACCAGTGTGGGGAGAGCCAAGGTGACAGCCACTCCGACTCACCCAGACTCCTCAGCCTGGGAGCGCATACGCCTCATGAGCCACCATGTTGGGGGACAAGCTTTTCCTTTCCAAAGGGGCCAGGCACCGGCTTTGGGGAGCGGAGTCTAGTCAGATGTGTGTTGTGAGTGACCCATCTGACGTCATTCAAAGTGAACACGGAAAGGGGGAGGGAGATGACAGTGTGGGGAGAGGGTCTGAAGGCCACATGAAAGGATGAAATGAAGTAAATTATTATAAATTCCCAACCTTAAATAAAGGTAATCATTTTCCCTGAAATCACTCATACCCTCGTCCCTCTTTATTTCCATTTAGTGCAGCTGATATGCAATGCTGTGTTTTAAAATAAACATAAGCATTTCAGGGGCGGATGGGTGGCTCCGTCAGTTAGGCACCCAACGTGGGCTCAGGTCACGACCACACGGTTCGTGAGTTCGAGGCCCGCGTTTGGCTCAGAGTGGCTTCGGATCTTGAGTCCCCCTTACCCTCTACCCCTCCCCAGCTCATGCTCTCTCAAAAATAAATTTTAAGAACATAATAAATGAATGAATGAATGAAACATAAGCATTTTACAGTTAATTTTCCCTCTAGAACGCACAATCTTACCAGGATGGTTGGTCTTGATGTGCGACTTTATCAATCGATCTTCCGAAAAAGACTTCTCACACACAGGGCAGGAATAACTCCTTTTGTCCTTAACAGAAAGAGAGCACTGTCAGTTCAGTGTCCTGCCTGAACCCGGGCTCCGGGGAAAACCCACCACCACCATCACCACCACCGCCACCGCCACCACCGCCGCCACCATGGCCAGCCCACAGTGCGTCTTTGCGAACGTGTGACACGCCACCTGCACCCGGCCCACAGCCCGGGAAGGGTACAGGCTCCAGGTCAGAAGGGAGGGACAGGGCTTACAGACGACGGTCCGGTGAGGGCGGCCGGGCCAGCAGAGAGTGGGGCTCGGCCTTCAGGTCTAGCGCGCAGACCGGCGCTGCTCCACGACCCAAAGCGCATTATGTCCTCCAGTGCTTTCTGCGTGGTGCGGGGTGGGGGGGGGTCACAGTTACTCTACAGGACTCACAGCCGCTCTCAACGGACAGGCATCACTGTGCCCATGTTACAGATTAGGAAACCGAGGCCCAGGGGGATGAGCCCCAAGTGTGAGAGGAAGAGTGGGTGTCTGGACCTGAATGGACAGATGCCCACCTGGGCTGCTCCTGCCACTCCACAGGCCCGTGTCCCACGGAGCTTCGTGCCGCACCACTCCTCACTCGTGGACCCAGCTCCCATGGAGGGAGAAACGCATGTGAACGATCAAGCTCCAGCTTTGGCTCATCTGCCTTTTCTCTCGGCTCATTACAGGGCTCATTCACGCGCCAATTTTCCCCAGACGGTGGGTGTTATGGGCTGAACCGTGTCCCCTGCGGCAGTCACACAGTGAAGCCCTACCCCCAGCACTTCAGGAGCCCTCTCTGGAAAGCGGGTCACCGCAGCTGTTCGCTGTCCCTAGCTAAGAAGCAGTTGCTAGCCGGGCCCAGATCCAGCAGGTCTGCTGTTTGGAAGCTGACACACACACGAGGAGTCCAGGCGGCGAGTCCACAAGCCAAGAGGCGACAGAGATTGCAGGCGAAACACAGAAGCTCAGAGGGAGGCAGAGAACAGACTCTCGCTCACGGCCCTCGGGAGGAAGTGACCCCACCGACGCCCTGATCTTGGAACCCCAGCCTCCAGAACTCTGCAGCAAGAGACATGGGTTGTTTACGCCCGTCAGTGGGACGGGGACTTGAGGAGCCAGCAGGGCGTGAGCTGAGGGAGGGAGAGGGCGTCCGCTGCAGGGGCCCCAGACGGGTGGGAGAGGCCACGGACAACAGAAGGGTACATGTACGGGTTCCCCTCATGCTCCCACCCTCGGCGCCCCCGTCAGGGAAGACAACCAAGTGAGGCTGCACCAGTGCACGAGTCAAGCAGGGAAACACCCGCACAAACCCACAACAAGCCTCGGAAGTGTGACCTGTATAAACGTGCATCACAAGCCCATGAGAAATGCAGGAGCCTCAAGTGCAAGGAAAGTTCCAGAAGATGTTCACAGTCTGTGCTCATTTGGATCTATGAGAGAACGAATCCCCACCACTGGTTGAGCGCCTGCTAGGAGCTCAGCCTGGCACCAAGTGCTCTCATATCTTAGTAAATGAATACAAGCCTCAGAGCCACCCGAAAATGCAGTCACTCATACTAACAAATAACGATAGAGGCAACAGCGACCATTTCTTAACAACTTCCTCATGCAGAGGGCTATGTGTCACATACCACAACCTAGGGGGCGTGTGAGGAGCTGCCCAAGGTCACACCACCCCAGAGGGCAGAGATGGGTGTGCAAAGGAGACCTCTGTAGGCCAGGCTCCTGCTCCTGTGAGACAGGGACTAAGGGTGCACACTCAGGACTCTCAGTCCCTGAGCTAGAATCCTGGTTTCACCACTTACTAGCTCGGGAACTTTGGGCAAGTGACTTAACCTGTCCGTGCCTTGGTTTCCTCACTTGGCAATGAAAGCTGCCTGTTGGTAGGAGGAAGAATGAAATTACAAACACATAAAGTGGACTTCCAATTTCCAGTCCAGGACGGAAGAGGCTCAGAGGACTCTACTCCATCCTAACGGCAGATGAAACAGACTGAAAAAGCAACAACTCTCCTTCAACCGTAAGCGCGTGAGGTCACAGGGCAAACCACTACCCCCCAAAACCTGGAGAGAGTGCAGACAATCACAACTTATGGGAGCAAAACCCCCAGGAAGCCAGGACCAGAGCAGGGAAGGCAAGACCGGAATTGGCCAGCGGCTGGGAGCTTGTTACGGCTCACTGGGGCACCCACCTTTGTGAGTTAGCCCCTAGGAGCTTGACCTTGTAGTCACAGTGAGTATCAGAGAAAAACCCATACTTCTGGCAGGAATGGGGGAAAAGGAACCATTCTGAAATACACTGGAACATTCTATTCTTGATAAGATCTGCCCCCAGAGGATACCAGTTCACCAGAGCCTCGCTTGCCGGGATATTATCAAAGATTAAGCTACCTGGAGGAAGGGAAATACCCAATTCCAGCCCCCTATAGCCTTCTACATGGGAGAAAGGACAGACCCAAACCCAGCCCACTTTAGCCCTCCTTACCCACCTAAGGGAGTTGAAAAAAAAGAATGAGAAACACTCTTGAAGTTCATGCCCATAGGCAGAGGCTCCTGAGAAACTGAGCCCTAATCACAGTTATAGAATGATTCTCCTCCCCCACACCTTACCGATACATTACAAAAGGCCAATTTACAGCAACTCCTTGTACCCGGTACATCCTGCCCACATATGAAGAAGGAAAAATTATTATAAGACTCGCAAAAAAGCAAAAAACACAGTTTGAAGAGACAGAGTAAGCATCAAAAGCAGACTCAGATATGGCAAGGATTTGGGGATTATCAGACCAAGCATTTAAAACAACTCGGATGCACAAGCCAAGGTCTCTACTGGACAAAGCAGATGGCACACAAGAGAGGGGCCACAGAGGCAGAGGCAAAAAACCTCAGAAAGAACCAAAAAGGAGATGCTAGAGATCAAAACCACTGCGGCAGAAATGAAGAAAGCCTTGGATGGGTGTGTGAGTAGACTGGACACAGCTGAGGAAAGCATCTTGGAGCTTAAGGACATCTCAAAGGAAGCCTCTAAAATTGAAAAGCAAGCAGAAAGACTGATGAACACAGAGTATCCAAGGGACATATTGTGGGAATATGAGAGGAAAGAGACAAAGGAACTGAAGAAATATCTGCACCAATAATGACTAGGAACTTCCCTAATATGGTGTCAAACACCAAGGCACAGATCCCAAAAACTCGGAGAGCACTAAGTAGGAATGAGACCAAATAAACCACACCTATCATTTTCAAACTGCAGAAAACCAAAGATAAAGAAAAAATACTGATAGAAGCCAGAGGTCAAAAGAAAACAAAACAAAAAACACATTACCTATAGAGGAGCAAAGATAAGAACTGCACCCAACTTCTCAGAAACCACACAAGCAAGAAGAGTATGAAGTGAAATGTTTACAGAAAGGAAAAAAAAATAAGAAGAAGCACCAACTCAGAATTCTGTACCCTGCAAAACTATCCTTCAAAAATGAAGGAGGGACACCTGGGTGGTTTGAGCGGTTAAACATAGGACTCTTGATTTCCACTCAGGTCATGATCTCACAGTTGTGACATCTAGCCCCTCATCAGATAAGTGCGGAGCCCGCTTAAGATTCTCTCTCCGCTTTCCTTTGCCTCTCCCCAACTCACATATGCATTTGTCTTGCGCTCGCTCTCTCTCTCTCTCAAAAAAAAAAAAAGATAAAAGAAAAAAATGAAGGGAAATACTTTCTCAGACAAACAAAACTGAAAGAATTTGTTACCACGAAGACCTATCTTACAAGAAATATTAAAACAAGATAAAGCTGACAAAAACAAACTAGATAAAGTCAAAAGTTGTTCTTCATAAAGAAAGAGCACTAGAGAAGGGAGAAGTGAAGGTAAAATAAAAGGTTTTATTGATCTTAATCTTAATTCATCTAACAGAAAGTTTGTTCAAAATAGTAACTGTAACAATGTATTCAATAATGTATGCTTTCTATGCAAATGGTTATATAAGTAAATAAATATCGGCAATGATACACAGTATATGAAGAAGGCACTAGGATTATTTTGTTACTACAAGATACTGACACTACCCATAATGTGGAACAGGGCTCTCTGTAAGCCAACTTGGATTCTATATAAATGTATATACTGCAAGTTTTAGGGTAAACACTACCAAAAGTAAAAAAAAAAAAAAAAAAGTATAAGTAATATGCTAAGAAAGGAAAGAAAATGAAACCATATAAAATGCCCAGTTAAAACTACAAAAGGCAAGAGTGGAAGACAAAGGAACAGAGAACAAAGGTAACAAACAGAAAACAGGAACAAATACGATAACTATTATTTCAACTGTATCAACAATCACTTTGAACATCAATGATCTAAAATGCACCAATTAACAGATTACCAAACTGGATCAAAAAACAAGATCCAGTTATATGTTGGCTCTAAGAAGCCCACCTTAAATCTGAAGACACATACAGATTAAAAGGAACTGGATGGAGAAAGATATACCATACTGACACTCATAAAAAGAAAGGGGAAGTACTTACTCATTTAAGAGAGAAGAGATTTCAAAGATAGCAATCAGCAATAAAAAGGGTTATTACATAACATTGAAGGAATCCATTCTCTAAGAAGACATAATAATCCTTAATATCTATGCATCTAACAACAGAGTCAAAAAGTATGAGGCAAAAACTGGTAAAATGGCAAGGAGTAACCAAATCTACTATCTCAGATGGACATATCACCACCCCTCTCTCAGAAACAGACAGATATAGCAAGCTGAAAATCAGTGAGGACACGGCTGAATTCAACAGCACAGTTGAATTCAATCAATCAGCTGGGTATAACTGACATCTACAGACTACTTTAACAACAGGAGAATACACATTCTTCTCAAGGTCACACAGAACATTTACCAAAATAGACCACATTCTGGACCGTAAAACAGGCCTCAACAAATTGAAAAGAATAGAAAGCATACAGTGTTTGCTCACAAACCACAAAGGATTAAACTAGTAACCAATAAAGACAGTTAGACTATGTCAAAATATGCACAAATTAAATAATATACTTTTAATAACATGAGTTAAAGAAGATATCTCAAGAAAAATTTTTTTAGTATTTTAAACTAAATAAAAATGAAAACACAACTTCTCAAAATCTATGGAAAGCAATGAAAGCTGTACCTGGGAGGAAATCTATATAGCACTGAATGTATAATATTAGAAAAGAAGGGGCACCTGGGTGGCTCAGTCGGTTGAGCATCCGACTTCAGCCCGGGTCATGATCTCACGATTCATGAGTTCAAGCCCATGTCAGGCTCTGTGCTCTCTATGCAAAGCCTGATTGGGATCCTCTGTTCCTCTCTCTCTCTCCTC